TTTAGAGAGAGTGGACAGGAGGGAGGGGGGGGGAGAGGGAAAGAGAGAGGGAGAGATTGATTTTAAATGGTTTGGAAGCGCGTGTCAGTTCTTCCTTGTACACTGAATTAAACCACCAAAGATTTTTCCTTTGAGTCAGAGACAAGGGCAGTGCCGCTCCTGGAACAGAATGCATGCGAGCATCATACCCTTGCACTGCCCTTCACTAAAGGAATGGCCTCGCTGTATCTCAGTTTCCTCATTTAAAAAACAGGCAAAGTTATAATAAGAACAAATTGTCACGTAGCTGTAAGAAACAACTGAGATTAGCCATAAAGTATTGCCCTTGAGCAATTACTTTTTCTTTAGTTTAAAAGCTAAACATTTACAGAATGATACTAATGAAGACGACGGTAGTTCATTTGTACTGATGTTACTAGGAATCGGCCAGAACGCCTCTCACAAGATGGCTCACTTCATCTAAACCCCTCAGGACCATCTGCGGAGCTAGATAGTATCACCACCTTCGTTGTGTTGTGGGGGAAACTGAGGCTTGGGGCGTGCGTCTGCTCAAGGTCACGCAGCTAGCGAGGCAGGTGCCGAGCAGCTTCACACCTGGCCTCACTGTGGGCCCCGTGCGTTTACCCTCCAGGCTGCTCCTCGGGAATTAAAGGCCCGTTTGAACCACAGCCTGAGTGGTTCATGAGCAAAAGGTAAACTAGAAAACTTATGGTTAAAGTTCCATGTTGCTATCTCTCTTCTTATTAAAAACAATGTAATCGGGGGGAGAAACTTTATCGTTCGATATCAATCCCTGTACCTTTTCGAAAACTCTCAGTGATTTACATATTTTTCACACAATGATAATGATAATGATACATTCATACAGCTTTACTACCTGCATCATTTTCAAAGCCGATTTTCCTGGAGATGCTAGAAGGATGTGTGTCTCCTGAGAGCTGCCTGTGGCGCCTGGGTATCTAGGTGGGAGCAAGGGCTGATGCTGCCCCCTGCTGGCTGACTTGCTCATCTCCAAAGCGTCCAGAAAACGGCCATTTCAACCAAGTGATAACTGCGTATCTAAAGTAAGGGACACCAGCCCGGCCCGGCGTGGCCCAGCGGCTGAGCATCCACCTAGGACCCAGGAGACCGTGGTTTGATTCCCGGTCAGGGCACATGGCCGGGTTGCAGGCTCGATCCCCAGTGGGGGGCCGCGCAGGAAGCAGCCGATCAATGACGACTCTCATCATTGATGTTTCTCTCTCTCTCTCCCTCTCCCTTCCTCTCTCTGAAATCAATAAAGACATATTTAAAAGAAAAGAAAAGAAGGGACACCAGGCCAAGCTTACTCATCTTCAAGAACGCCATCTACAAATTTCCCTCACCAAAGTCTCACTCAGTGGTCCTCAGACATCTTCCTGAGGACATTTTGTATTATTTTTAGTTATTTTAAAATGTATACCCCAAAAATGACACGAGTGCAATTTTAATGGCAGTTGTCTCTCCACCGCTCCCCTCTCTCCCCTCTCACGTTAGCGTGTATCTTCCCCCTGAACAGATTCTCTCCTTTTATCATTTCCTACTTAAAAACTCAGACACATCAAAAGATGCTGGAACAGCACATCGACGCGAGACATTTTTACAAAACCACAGCTGGCCGGGCCCTCGCTTCTCTCTGTTTCCCTCCTCCGTCCTGGAGAAACTGCCCCTAAGCTCCTCTCGACCCTCCGCAACGGCGCCCGGCTCCTGCTGCTCACCTTTCTTGTTTCGTGTGCTTGTCCAAAGTGGTCATTCGAATTTCACCATCTCCCTGAGGCCGTCCAAAGAGCAGAACTGGTTGGTTCTAAAACATAAAATGTGCACGTCTCAGCTTTTCATAACCACATTAAAAAAAGGCTCCAGTGTTCGGAACTTGGGCTGCTGCACAAGCAGGGCGATTAAGGCGAGAGGGACAAGCGGTGGCCGACAGTCCCCGGACATCCACGCGGATGCTGCCCAACAGGCATCGGGAAAGAATTAGATGTAGAAACTGGCAGGTAAACTACTTTTTCTTCAAAAACAACAATTTGCGGGCGGGGGTACGCGGGACGGGGCGCTGATTACCTACCAGGTTTTCTATAGAGAGCTGAAACTGTTTAATTTCACGCAGGGTCTCGTTATCTCTCTTCACTTCGTTCACATACTGCGCCAAGTCCTAAGGGTAACGACACGGGGACAAAAGGCACAGTGAGATCGGGGAAGGAAAGCACGGCGTCCGCGCGGCGAGTGGCGGGGGCACGGCGGCTTTTACACGCACGACCCGTCCACGCTGCCCGTCAGCAGCGGGTCACAAAGGCCCGGAGGGTGGCGGGGCGGGAGAGGAGCTGTCACCGACCACACCCCGGGAAGAGGCGAGTACGAAAAACAAGTGAAGTCTGTTCCCACGCAGATGGGGAAAGAGCAGCAGGAGGGGAGGCTGTAAACTGCGGGCACGTTAGTAACGGGCCCTGAGAGTTATGCATCCGTGGGGTGGCCCAGGGGCCAGACCGCAGGCCAGCAGGGAGGGGAAAGTGGCTAGAAGTTGGACGGGGATCTGGCGGTGCCCTTCTCTGCCATCAGGTGGCACTTTCACCCCTGGGGGCAGCCGGTCGAGGCAGCCAGTTCCCTCTGATAGTGTCAATGACGAAGGAAGGGGCCGGAGGCGGGAGAAGGCAGAGAGCTCAGGGGTTCAAGTGAACCCACCACGCGCGCCACGGTTCTCCCTGGGCCGCCGCCTATTTTAAAGCCTGTTCTCATTTCTGAGGAAACGTTAGCTGACCCTTCCACACTGTAACTAGCTATTTTTATTGTACGTGCTCTAGATTTCCCGGTTTTCTGGGTTTTTCAACCCCTCTATTCTCGTTAGTTCACCTGAAACAGTAGGAGCAGGGCTCGGACAAAAAGCAGTTTCTAACTTTGTTCTAAATGACAGTCTGGCTTTTCAGAGGATGTATCTATAAATGATTCCTTAAAAGTTAGACCCTTGGTATGATTTTTTTTATAACAATAAGTAACTGTGTGGTGTTTCCTGACGGGGTCCTAGAGTCAGCTGAACAGCTGAGCTCACTCCAAAGTGACACAGGGACACAGGGACACAGCGAAGCACTGTCATCATTCTCAGCAGTCCCATCGGCATTTTGCTCTGAGGATACATTTGCTTATGTTTTAAATTAGGGCCAAGTATTTCTTTCAAAGTCCAGCATAGCATGGAAATTGTGTTTTATAGGTTCCCCATATGTTGAGAAAGTCCACCTCTGCCCACTTGTAGGTCTTGACTTTCGATTTACCTGAACCTAGAAACCCAACCTGACACTCACACACCCTGACCCACAGCACCCACAAGGGTAAAGCTGGCAGACGGCCTCACCTGAGAAAATGTCACCCCTGCGCTCTGAAGTCACCTGCCGACCTGATGCCCATCCAAGCTAACAGTTTCCCATTAGTAGCCATGCAACGAGTGTCAAAGAAAACCGTGGTATGAAATCATTCCCAGTGGTTACGGAAGCTGTCACACATTCATAAATGACAGAGGTTCTTGTAATACACCTCTCGGTTTTATGTGTTTTTGTCTGACAAATTCATGCAAGTACATCTATTCCACTTAAAAATATCCAGCTCGCCCTGGCGAGGTGACTCAGTTAGTTATAGCATCATCCTGGACACCGAAAGGTTGTGGGTTCCACCCCTGGTCCGGGTACACACCTAGGTTGCAGGTTCGATCCTGCTGGGGGTGCGTATGGGAAGCAACCGAGCAATGTCTCTCTCTCACATCGATGTCTCTCTCTCCCCTCGTTTCCCTCGCTTAAAAAATATTTTTAAAAATCAAAGAACATATCCTTGGGTGAGGGTGAAAAAACACATATCCAGCTCTGCCCACCGAGAGCAAAGCTATACAAATCCTTCCACCGATGATCTGGGTTAGCAGACCGCGCCCGTGTCAGCAGCGCTCTACTGCGTGCAGACAGGAACGAGACAGACAAGGTCAGGGCCCACGGCCTCACCTTCATCGCGTCAAGGGCCAGTCTCAGGTTCGCCTTCTCCAGGGGGTCCGTCGTATGCTTGACCAGCTCCTATTTGGAAGGCACAGTTTAGTGCTGTTTTCATCAAATTAACACCCAAGCCTAAGAAAGAAAACACTTAAAAATAAACCCTTTTATGCAGAGTTGGTGCAGCCACAAACAGTGTGGATGTTCCTCAAAAAATTAAAAATGAAACTGCCTTATGGCTCAGCAATTCCCCTTTGGGAATATATATCCAAAGAACCCCAAAACCCTAATTTGAGAGAATATATGCACCCCTACGTTCATTACAGCGTGATTTACAATAGCCAAGATACGGAAGCAGCCCAAGTGCCCATCAACAGACAAGTGAACAAAAAAAGCTGTGGTGTATTACACCACGGAACACCTCCAAAATTATTCCATTGATATCTGACTAGACCAAAGTTACAAAATAAATTATTCTCTTATTTTGGACATGTTTTTAGCTCCACAATGTCTCAGAAACTAATCGCCTTCATCTTCTTTATTATTTTTTCATAAAATTCAATTTGATTAAGTTGCTCTGAGTTTAGGTCTCATAAATGTTTTAATGCATTTTTAAGAAATAATCAGGGTTTGGATTTCTCTGATGTCTCAGTAGAATAAAAATAGAAATGACTGATAATTCTGCGGCCACCGTGCAGGAAACGTAATATACGAGAGGCCCAAAGCACAGAAGACTCCAAATTATATTTCACGTGCAGGTAGGAGATCTGTTTAAAATAACATTTCACAAGCATCCGCAGACTTGATAGACTAATACAGTGGGACATTTCTTTGGAGCATAACTAATGAGTCTCCTGGTACAGCCATCAAATTAAATTTATAAGGCTCTCCACTCTCATTAGAGGACTCACCGTGGAAACCATAAGCGTTGGGGTTATAACAAGAGTCAGTTCAAAATAAATGTAGCCTTATTATAATTTACTGTAGCAGAAAGCAACCCAGAATGTGGTTCTAAAGCAAAATTAATTCTAACAGAATTAACCTGCAAAATTCGGGCGTACCCCAATATTGAGATTCTCATGAGCGATTACTGACTACAAAGAACTTGGCCAAAGGGCTCTTCGTATTTGTCTTGCCTTGTTGTTTTTTAATTTTTTAACTTGTTTGGAGCCAGTTGTATTTGAGGGATGGGAAGTGTGACTTTGTGAGAAGAATCCTCTTGGCTAAAAGGGAGAGAGTGTCTCCAGCTGCCCTGTTCCTTCCCATCCAGCCCTCCCTAAGGGGACCTCAGCCCTCCCTAAGGGGACCAGCCCAGCCGCGGCGCAGCCGACGCTTTGCGGGGGCTTTGCTGAGCGAGTCGGTGAACAGTGCGGGGCTCGGCACCTGGAGCAGGAGATGATACTTCAGAACGCGCTGCATCGGGACCACAAGCAGGTCTCGGAGGGTGAACTTCCCGTTGTTGGCGCGCTTGGAACATTCCTGGTGAAACGTGATTTTAAAACGTGCGTTAAAAACTTTGTTTTATCAAAGGGAGTCATAAAACATACACACACACAAATGCCAAGGCCATAAACGAAACTGTCATTGCACAATAAATAACTTGTTTTCCTTCTTAACAAGCCTCCTTTCTAACAAAAAAAAAACAATACAAAGTACCTTCAATTAAAAAACCGAAACACAAACCAACCTTGGTAGCATCTCAGCTCTAAATAGGAATCCATAGGTAGAACTACTTTATGCGGGAGGATTATTTCCTCCAGGGGCCCCCCAGGGCTTGCTCCCTCGGTAGGCTGACCCCGCTTCCTCTGACCCACCTCACCCTCGCCCGGGGCTTTCAGTTCCCCCAGCTGCCATCGAGGTCCAGTCCCAGCAAAATCCTTCACTCTCTTGAAGATCTCTACTTCTAGGCCTGCAGTAATGATCCCAATCACAACGGTGCTCTCTGTGCCTTGCGGGTCTTCTAGTTATTGTCGCACATAATCCCTTCCCCAATGTGCCTCCCATCCCTCTAAGAGCCCAGTATTTGCTCCATACGTGTTTGTTAAACTGAATGAAATGGAATTGTTTGCTCTGATAATAAGCTAAAGTATAACCCTACCGCTGGATTCCACGTTCTGAAAGCCTCGGATTTATGTATTTTTTTTATTTTTTAACCTCAAGCTCCTCTTTCTTAAAAGTTTATCTTAAACGAGCATTGACGCGCTTGTTCTCTGATGTTAATTGTGACTTTGAGGAAAGTACTTTGAAGTGTCAATGTCTGGATTTAAATCAGGTCTGGCAGTTCTTGGCTGTGTGACCTTGAATGAGCTGCTTTTCTGATTTTACAGTTTCTCACATATCCACAGTGTAGTTCAAAAAGTGTGGCTCAGTTGGTTGGGCGTCGTCCTGTGCACCACACGGTCACCAGTTCAATTCCCAGTCAGGCACATGCCCTGGTTGTGGGCTCGACCCCCAGTAGGGGGGGTGCCGGAGGCAGCCGATGGATGTTTCTCTCTCACATCAGTGTTTCTCTCTCCCCCCACCCCCACCCCTTCCACTTTCTCTAAAATCAATTAAAAAAATAGAGTTCATAAAAATATTAATAGCGAGCAATTCAGTAAGTCCAAAACCCTCAGACAATTGCACATCCCTGACGGAGGAATTCAGGAAGGAGTTCAGGAAAGGAGCTACGTTCAAGGAAACACTCTTTAGCTGGTGACTTTATTTCCCTTTGCCCACACTTAGCTTTTCTGGAACATAAAAAAGATACATCATCAGAAGCTATAAAGCAAACTCCATTAGCTCTAATGACCACAGTGACTTAATGAATGCTTGACTCCAGATCTTAAGCGAGAAGAAAGGTCAGCTCCTGCCTGGCTGATTGCTGCAGGTCACTGGAAAGATAACTGTTTCCACTGATTGCTGCTTCCACAGATTGCAGAGTTCTGGATCACGGGTCTCAAATATGAGGTTAAACTGTTAATTCTACTGTAATGAATGGTCCTCATCTCCCACCTGCATTTTTAAGCTCCTTAAAATTGAGGTTGTATCTTACACTTCCTATAATATGACATCTTAACACAGTATCAGGAACAGAAATGTTCATACACGTAAAATTCACATTGTTGTTATGCGATGGAAGTCCGTTTAAAACTGCTGGGGGGAAATCAGTTCCTTTCTATCAAAAGTTATGAGCTCAGGAAGTAAAGAAATTTAACACAGCTGGTGTTTTCTACAACTAGGGGCCTGAGACTGAGGTGTGGAATGATTATTAGCATCGAAAGTAAGTAAAGGGAAGAAGTGATTCTTCCCAAACATCCAGTCCCAGGCTTGGCCTAAACTCCAACTCTAACCGAGAAAAAACACAGTGGATCAGGAATGTATAGCTCTTAGGTTATTTCACAGACAGACAGACAAAAGTAACGGGCACCTCTAATTTCAGCTTGACGTCTTCTTTAGTCTTGGAGATGTAGTCTAAACTGGAGATGGCGGACTCCACGGCGCTGCAGTACTGCCCGTAAATAACCAACCTGGAAGGGAGCGAGACCAAGGAGAAATCTGTAGGGCTCAGGGTACAGGGCTGTAAAGGGGTCTACACTGACTTGAAGGGCAACTATCCGGGGCCTTTGTGCTTTTTCTTTCTTTTTCGTTTTTTTCTGATACACACGTAAGGCTCACCCGACCGCCTGGAGGTCAACTGTCCCGTGTTCTAGCCGCCGCCCGGGCGGCGTCTTCATGAACAGTAGTGAGACCCGTTTCTAAGCAACGGTCATACTAACCCCCACTACGAACCACAAAAGTTAAAATTCACAAGTTACCTTTCCTTGTAGTTGATGAAAATCTGATACAAGTTCTGGTCATTCTTATTTACAATGGAATCGTGAATTTCTTGCATGAGGTTCCGATGAACTTTTACAAGCTCCTTAGAAAAGAAAACAAAGTTGAAGTCGACTGGAGATCAGAACCCCCCCCCAAAAAAAATCACCCCCAACCCAGAATCCCTATTGTTGCTAGAACTGCCATCCAAGGACATGCCCAGTGCCCTCGGCATATCAGCCTGCTCCCATCAGTAAAGAGGGGAGGGAGAGGACAGGAGGAAGGGCGGGGAAGGGGAGGGGAGAGGGAGGGACAGTGACAGGCCACATGTGTGGGAAATAGCAATTTCAGATCTGACTTGAAATGCCAATGTCCCGTGAAAAACAAATTATTTCACTGGTTATTACAGGGTAATTTATTCCTTGTATGAAAATATGTCCAGCTAATTTTCATTTTGTAATCACTTTAGATTTTTAAATACAGCCATCCAAGTGCATAATGTTTCACTGACAAGATAAGTGACAACTCGTGACCTTGGGACATGAAAACGCAGATCTGTGCTTTGGTCAACTAGTGGTGTCCCTGTGCTCAGCTGTCAACAATCAGACGAAAGTGCTTGAAACCACACAACTCCTGGCAGAATTAAGGAGCCCAGAAAATTGTACTGGGCGGTTTCCTAAAGCAACTCAAAAGACAGAATTTTACTTCTTTCCTGATAAGCAAGTAATTTTCAGCCAGGCAGTAAACACACGTCACAGGAAATGAAGGAACTGGAACCAAGGTGCCAGCTCTCCCCACAATCTCCTCCCCTGTGCCCTGGGGCGCTCACTAACTTCACTGGGGAAGGGAAACTGGGATACGTGGTGAGAAGGCGGTGAGAACAGGAACTGTCCAACGGGTCCTCGGATATAGTGACGGGTTTAGGTGGCTCAAGATCCTTGTCTGCCTAGAACATACACTTTGCTGTATCCTAACTAACTGTTCACCTGAGGTTGTGACCTTTCTTTCCGGCAATGTTACAAATCAACAAGAACGTCTTCATTGGGCCCAAATCAAGGCAAGGACCACATGCCACAGCTAAATGACTGGTGCACGTCCACACTGAACATAACAGAAGCAAAACCTAAGGGATCCATCAGCACTACAAGCAAGCCTGTACATCAAAGCCGACGTACTACACATAAAAGCTATATAAGAGAACCAAAGCCAGTTCTGGACGTCTAAGAACTTCAGTCTTGCCTCGCATGACCTCAGTTGGCATAGCATTTGGCTGGCTTCTACCCTTTTAGGATTATAAGATAATTGGAAGGTGCTCAGGAACTTGAGATGCTTACATAAACCTGTGAAAAAAAGTTCCATTAAAATAGACTGTTGAATCATAAGGAAGTGTATTTCAGAAATAGGAGTTAAGGATGATACGACTGGAAGCAGAAAAGAGACACAAAAACGGTGGAGGAAGGGTAGGAAGTAGAGGAGACGGAAGGAGTCAGGACAGTGTCCACAAGACGGGGTCGAGGGGCTGGAGGAACCAAAGAGAAGTGACTGGGGCAGAAGGGGACTCTCACAAGACAGAGACAGGAGCCCCGGGGACCACTGAACTGAGACTGCCTCGTCATGACAAGCACTTAAGGAAAATACGCAAATCTTATCCATGTGTCTTCTGCATGTGTTTTGAGTGACTTCTGGTTAAAGATATGTCTTATCAGTTATTGCTTGAGAACGCGGCTATAAGAACTCAGGAGGCAGGAAACAGAGTTGAAAATCTTAAAGAACACAAGAGGCTGCTAAAACAGGGATCTGGAACCCAGAGAGAATTTTACCCAGTACGCCAGCTTCAGCAGGCGCAGTTTTACTTACAGGAATGTTGACGAAGACTGAGTCAAACTCTGCTGCTGTCAGGAACCGTTTCAGTGGCGCCATGAAGTACTACCAGAAGAGACGAGAGAGGGGAGGTTCAGCACAACGCACCCTAATCTAGGCGGCAGGTTTTCATCAACAAACAATAAACACTTATTGAAAGTCAGTTGTTTATCAGTATTATATGAATACTCAAGGAAAAGCAGAAACTATTTTCCTTATCTTAAAGATTTTACACTTGAACAGAGGTACAGAAACATAAATGCACGTTAATATACTTAAAGCATAAAATACTTTGGGTGGTGAGCACACAATAGAATTGACAGATGGTATATTATAAAACCATACAACTGAAACTTATATAAGGTTATTATCCAATGTTACCCCAATAAATTTAATTTTTTTTTAAGTAGTAATGATAAATAAATCAAAGAAAAGGTTCAGGCAATAAATGCTCTAAAAGTAAGAAAGAGAACGCCACTGGCCGAATTGGCAAAAAATGGCAACATGTTGGAGATATCTTTGAGGATGGATGCAAAATATCACTCAGATGTTTTGTGGGGATTCTATATCCCCCAGATCAATAGTCTGCCTATGCCATTTCCCCTCATTCCTTGAGAACTGTCTTCCTGGTCTCCCACATCTCTTTCCATTACTACTCCCATCTTCTTTCTTGGCCATCTCAGTATCTGTGAAGATGACCCTTCGAATAGCCTGGCCTCTGGTTCCTCGAACTGCAATAACCTCATGCTCCATCCTAGCTCAGCTCCCTACTCTTGTGGTCCTATCCCAAGACCTTGTCGTTATCAACAACTACAAATGCTCCACAGCATTCATTTCGAGCAATCAACTCTCCGACCACCCATTAACCCTTACCTTTGTCACGCATTCCTTCAAGGAATTCTTCCATCTCAGGGTCCCATCTAAGGGCCTTTCTCCCAGGAATTGTCATCTCTGAGAGATGTGCATTGGCTTGGTCCCTCAATTCACTCAACTATCTGCTCAAATATGACCTTATCCTAGAAACCTTCCATTCCCACTCGATAAAAAATAATACCAGTCCTCCCCCCATCACCTTCTGGACCCTTCCTCTGCCTTATTTTTCTTCAGAGAATTTATTACCACCTGGCATACTTATTTGCTTAAATTACGAACTCTTCCATGTCCGAGAACCAGAGTTCTACTGTGTTCATGGACATATTCTCAATCCCTAGATTAGTGTATTTCAGATGCTAAAATCAATCAATAAATAGCTGTGGAATGATTAAATCTGCTTTGAGATCTGTAAGCCCGAAGTTCTACTGAAAACTGGAATATAAACACACACGCGCGGTAGAAACACTGAGGCTAATGTATGAACAATAAAAGGCAGTCGTGGGGCATCAGGGCTGATACCTGGCTACTTACTTTCTCTATTGATTCCAGTGTTTCTGTATATTTTTCTTCTGTCTGCTTAATTTCTGCTAGGCAGCAATATCGTATGTCATTTTCTGGACATTTCTGCAATTAGAATGATCCAGTTTAAATTACTTAGTCAATTTCATGTGTTAATCTCTCTGGTAGTAGCTAGAAAGAGATCAAAACTGTTGCTGAGTCTGTGAAGCTTTCTATTTCTAATAAAACACATAACTGAATGACCTGTATGGTTATAACTATATAACCACGACCTGTTATCGCATCTGGAGCTGTAGAAACATGACATTTTACAGGTCAAAACAACCATGGGGAGCCCTAGCTGGCTTGGCTCAGTGCTTAGAGCATCGACCCGTGGACTGAAGGGTCCTGGGTTCAATTCTGGCCAAGGGTACAAACCTCAGTTGCAGGCTCGATCCCGCATGCAGGGGGCAACCAATCGATGTGTCCCTCTCATGTCCATGTCTCTCTCTCTCTCCCCCTCTTTTCCACTCGCTCTGAAAAGCAATGGAAAAAAAACCCTCAAGTGAGGATTAAAATAAATAAATAAAACAATCATGGGGAGTCTCTGATCTACTACTGTCGTTTTCCTAGTAAAGGAAACTAGATCTGAGAGATAAACAACATGTCCCCCAGCAAAGCAAAGGCAGAGGGGCAATGGAACATAATTCCAGGGAATCGGGAAACTATTGCTATGGAAGGAAATCTCTTAGAAAGCAGGATAAAATCTCTTAGAAAGCAGTTCTTTCAGTCTGACATACCGTCAAATACATAACAAGCAAAGGTAAGAGCGGACACAAACCAAAAACTGTCCCAGCCGAAGTTACATAAGCAGTTATATCGAGTCCTTCAAGTAGTCACTTTCCTAATAAAATACCAGGAGTAACTTAAAAAACAAGGCAAGTGCCAGTCCTACGGGCGGATGGGCTTCCTCGGCTTTCATCAGGTCCTCATAGACCTCGCCACCTTCGTCCTCGCCGTAAACGCAGTCGTACAGGCCCTCGGCATCCTCCACGTGGGTCTCACTGGAAGGAAGGCACAGGGGACAAGGGGGGGAGGTCACTGCCTGGTGGGAACCGCGGGGCTGGAAACAGCTTCCTGCATTCTGGCAGCAAATCCAGAGGGGACAGAAAACGGAATTCCTGCAGTCACAGGCTCTCAGGACGGCCCTGCCCCTCCTAACAGGAGCCAGGGCCACCAACCACAGGGCCCAGCAAGGATGGCAGCGACACCGACACTCCAAATTGCACTTCCCAGCGCAGGCTTCTCTGCTCAGCAGAGGCCTGCACGCCGTGGGATGTACCACAGCAACCAAGAGCCGCTGAAGCACATTTTCTTGTGACTCTCCATCACGGGTTTGGGGTTGATATTAACCATTAAACCACTTTCCCGTCCACGGGGCTATCTGGACACCCCCCGTTACAGCCCGCAGAGGATGCAGAATTGATGCAGCCGTGCTCACGTACTCTATCAAGTCGGGCAGGGCCTTGTAGATGTCTTCATCGGTCACGCTCTCTTCTGTTGGGAAGGGCCTGCGAGGGAGGGACAGAAAACCAAGGCTGAGCGTGGTCAGACTGGTCACCACATCTGATACAGCGTCTGGGGCTTCTCCCCAAGCGTGGGTGGGTCAGGGGGCCCCCAGGAGGCTACGGCACCTGCTGCCCCAAGTCATCCACAACAAGTCTGCTGGTCCCCGCCGTCCTCTGACGGTGGTGTGCTCTCACCGGTGCTGTGCTTAGCGGGTCCCCTACCAGCCACATCCCTGCAGGCTCACCTCCTGGTCCCCCCTGCAGCTCCCCTGTTCAGAGAACAGGACTTGCCTTCAACACTAGCTCTTTGCACTTATGGATTCTGATCTGACAAATAATTGGGTAACAACCTAATAATGATAATTATTAGAAGACAAAAATGCCATGATATACATATATATATGCACTTATTGACTCTGATATTTTTCTACTTAGACTTTAAGATGTTTAAGTTGTTGGTTTTTTTTCAATTATTGGATAAATGAGTCAATCAGACCTCAGGGAGAATAGGGTGTTTTCTCTGCCCCCTATTCAAAGAAAATCACTTGAACTGATCCCCTGTTCCTAGCCATGGGCTCCCTTGTGTGCTGCATGCTTCTATGACATTTTTTATATAACACCCACACAATGCTCTAAATCTATCTCTAACAAAATCACAGTCATTGCACTAAAGAGCCAGAATTTTACTTTTTCACATGCTGCCAGCATGTCAATTTTCATAAAAACAAAAGGATCCATCGAAAAAACAAATAAGCACTGAATAATTATGAAATAATTATACTTAACAGGAAAAGCAGATTTTCACCTTAGTTTGTGGATTAATTTAATACTTAAAACATTTGGGGAACCTACATATTTTCAAGGAAATTAAAACGTATGAGAAATGCCAAAGTTTCAAAATCTTTTTAAAAGTTAAATTAGGCTCTTAGACCAGTACAAGTCCACTGTAGGAAATTTTGAAAATATAGACAAGAATAATTAAACAAGAAAAAATTATTCTGATGTGTATCTTTTCAGAATCAAAAAATACTTAAATACACAAAATTATACTGGTGCTATTTCAAAATTTACTGTTTACATATAATAACATACCATATATATATATATATATACTGACACGGAAAGGGAATTAAGTATTGAAGGTGTTGAACATTTATCCAGCCTACAGACTACTTCTGTATAAAGCTGCCAAATCCATAGGCCCAATCCATTTCTGAGAAAGGGTCTGTAGGGTGTCCTCCCTGACGTCACTGTGTTTGTATCCAAGGACTGGGCTGCCCAGCACTGCTGATCAGTCCTGTTAGATATGATTGGATCCTTTCCCTGAGAATCTGAATGTGAACTGTACACAGAAAAATGGAAGCAACAGAGAGACTTACGGAGACCCCCTAAGGACTAGAGACAAAAGTATGGAGCTCTGGGAAAACAAGGTAAAAAATGAAACCCATTCCATGTCCTTACAGGCTGACTATGTGGCTACTGAAATCATTTTTCTTTATTTCTAATGTTATTAATAATATAACTTTCTATCTGAACTAACTGAAGTATGTAGTATTTTAAACAGAAAAAGCCCAACATGACATACACAATTGTATTTCCATGCTTTCCGACTGCATAATACCCCATTGCCCGGAGGTGATGGAATTCATTAAACCAAATTCACTTCCAAGTTCTTCATTTAGTACCAAACTTTCCATACAAATAACTGTATAAGTATCAGTTTATATTTGTCTGATTATTTCCTCAACTCCTGAAAGTTGTGAATTACTGTTATGGTCTACAGGAAGTAAAAGTATTACAATGTCTTTTAAAATACTTCAGCATGTGTGTTTGTCTTGATGGATCACATGTATAGAAATGTTGGAGGAAGTTTGAAAAAAAAAACAAACCTTATCAATGATAGTCACCAGCAAAATGAGAACAATGTTTAGCCAATGTGTCTCATTCAACTCCACGGGTAAGTTTTTACTGGCTCAATACATTTAAGTTTAAATGTGTGTTGGGCACTTACGGACCAGGCAGTCTGCATGAGCCAGATGCAGTCCTCCTATGCAACGTGCTTTGCAAACAGTAACTGTTCGATACGCAATCATTACGCCAAACATGAACCACAGAGAAACAAGCTTACCTGATTCCCGTGGCCAACGCTATCGGGGTCCGGGAAAGTCGCGACAAGGTTTCTATCACCTGAGAAAAGAGGGAAGTGTTCACTGAACATGTATTTCAGAAAAGATGAGTTATTTTCCCAAAACAGCAGTTTTACAATCTAATATTAACAATGGCAGCAGACACGTAAGTTTGCAGATGCCAAAGGGGTGCAGATGGGAAGAGCTGTGACCGGACAGTATAAACACCTGGGCGATAAGTGTGCCCCTGTCTTTACCTTTATNGGTCCGGGAAAGTCGCGACAAGGTTTCTATCACCTGAGAAAAGAGGGAAGTGTTCACTGAACATGTATTTCAGAAAAGATGAGTTATTTTCCCAAAACAGCAGTTTTACAATCTAATATTAACAATGGCAGCAGACACGTAAGTTTGCAGATGCCAAAGGGGTGCAGATGGGAAGAGCTGTGACCGGACAGTATAAACACCTGGGCGATAAGTGTGCCCGTCTTTAACTTTAGGACTCTAAGACCACTAACCCACCTGGCCTGCATTTTCCTTACCAGTAAAATGAGGAGTGAGACGAGGTAATCCTAAAGGTCTTGCCTCTCTACTCGTACAGCATCTCCAAGATCCTATAAAGCTGCACTGTCCAAAACAGTAGCCACTAGCCACACGAGGCTACTTAAATTCACGTTAATTAAAATTTTAAAAGGAAAAACTTAAGTTCCTTATTTGTACTGGCCACACTTGAAGTGCTCGATATCCACACAGACACCAAACATTCCCATCGTCACAGAAAGTTCCACTGGGCAGCCCTGCTGTGCAGCAAAGTGAGTCTAGTCTTGACAAGTCTAGCTTTTGGGAGGTTCTGGAATAACCTAATGGAGTAACATTTAGACTCTGGAATTAACTATATTGTTGGGTTTTAGCGTGAGCCTTAAGCTGATGTGGCACTGTTTCTGGGTTTTGTTTTGGTTTGTGTGTTTTTTTAATTGAATTTATTGGAGTGACATTGGTTAGTAAAATTATATGGCTTCAGCTGTACAACTTCTATAATCCATCATCTGTACATTGTATTGTGTGTTCACCCCCCAAGTCAAGCCTCTTCCCATCACCATTTATCGCCCCTTTACCCCCTTCTACCTGCCCCCGCCCCCCGATGTGTCACTGTTTTAAAGCGGGGGGTGGGGGGTGGAATCCACCTCTGATCCTATGTGACACTGTGGTCCCAGCAGTGTCACCAGTCAACCAAAAGAAAAATAGTAGAGCAATGGATTCTGCTATTGCTAATATTTACTTTAACAGAAATGTACGTTATTCCTTAGGGAGATTTTCTATAAGGATGGCCATGCGTCTACAGGAACATAATGCATTTTCTGCTCCTTTTGCTACCAATAACCAGAACTATTCACAACCCGTCCCTCCCCCGCCGCAAGACTAGAGTTTGATTTTTTCATAAAACTGTCCACTGGAGGGAGCCAGACAACGGCACTATATTACTTCCCTCCTGCGCTGACTGTTCATAAAGCACAAACATTTCTGAAAATCCACAACCTGAAACCAACTCCTGTTATTTCTTTAAAAGGAGTATCTATGGCTTGTGAGTAATATAAAAATAAAGATAGAAATTCAGAGGAGAGGAGCATGGAAAGATACTACGTAGCACGTCTTAGAGTGACTCTCTCTGAGGACACTCTCGGTTCTGCGTCTCTCTGATGATACCTGGAGTCCTCCCATTAGCTCTCAGTTTAGCCAAAGCAAACAGAGACTGTTTAGTCGAAGTCGTGTTTTTAGAACAGTGTGTGTTCTGTACAGACGGAGTGACCCCGGATAATGGTCCAACCAGTCTCCTACCAAGGAGCCTTTTCAACATTCTGCTACTAGAACGACTCTAAGTACCGTGCTTGCCAAGTATCTTCTCAATCGTGTGCGGGCATTTCTATAAGAAGGGTTCTTAGGTGGGTCAAAGCTATGACCATTGCTTTTCAAAAAATGTGCGTGGACTGACATGGCCCTGAAGAGTATCTAAGGACATAACAAGATGTTCCAACGACCTGTTTGTCTGTCTGTCTTCCCATCCGACAGTGGAAAATACCTTAAGTGCAGGGAAACCAAACTGCTCCTTCACTGTCTGTCCCCCTCACCGAGCTCACAGCCACTTAACACAAAAATATTTGTTGCTCAAACAAATAAATGACTAATGCTTACCCTGTAAAAATTGCTCTGAGGATTAGGAACTGTCGTGTGAAGATATGTGAAGGGCTCGGCCTTGCACCAGGGGGGATGAATGAATAATTGAAAAAGGGGCCCATTATCTGTCTCCTCAAACCTAGAGATCACGTACGCTGTGGCAAGACCCTCCATCCCCATCACATTTTTTCACCCTAATGAGGATTTTTATTTAGTTTGAGCTCTGTTTTACGTTTACCATCCCCATTAGCTTAAAAACTGTGAAAGAAGTTTCCAAAAATGGCAACACTGCCCACGATCGAAGCTACCACTTCAACTCTCCTGAGGCCTCTGGCACAGCCTCTCCCTCTGCTCACCTGGCACATTAGTGCCGCGGATGTGACATGTGATTAAAACGCGTCCTCGGTGCTGGCGCGGGATGTCACAGCTCCTTCTAAGGTCTCGGGCTAAGGAAGCCGGGGCCAGACGGAATGCCCGGCGGGCGCCACGGGGACCAGCACACAGGTCTGCCCGAAAGTGCTAACTGTGGACCTACCTCCTGAGTCCCCTCTTCTGAAGGTTCAACCCTGCCCCGGACCCAGCGGGAAGGCTCCTGAACAGCGAGCTGGGCTGAGGAGGGCTTCAGGGAGGTGAGCTTCACAGCGGGCTGGGCTCGCTTCCCCAGGAACTCGGGGCCCATAGGGGGGCTGCAGGCTTGAGCCCCAAGTTCAAAACAAACTCAGCAGTTCAAGAAGGGTCCGCAGCACTGAGGGGCCGGAGCGTGAAGTTAGCATCCGCAGCCGCCGCTGGGCAGGGACGCTGGGGTCGTGGAGGAAAAGCCGGGCCCCAGAGGATGGGCGTGGGGGCGCGGGCCTGGGATGCGGGCTGAGCGATTCAGGCAGGACAGGCCTGCAGACTAGGCCAGGGCGGCCCAGAGTCGGAACCTCCCCGGGCACCCCGACACTGGGCTATTGCCCTGACGAGGCGGCATTCGAAACCCAGCCAGGTGGCGAGTCTCAGGCTGACGACCCGTTTCCCCTTAGCTCACCCAGGAAACCAACGTGGCTCACCATCTTCGTTTTCTCTGCGATTCTAATTTCACAGAGTAAATGACCCCATGAGGACGTGCTGTTTTGTGTCCCTTCTGGACACACGTTTTAGATCTTCCCTGAAACACCTGGGAATCGCTCTGAACACCATAGGACGCTGGGGACAACACCCCGGCACCTCCTCCCCGGGCAACGCAAAGCAGCACAGCCTGACGACCAGCATGTGACTCCGTATCACCAGCTGTGAACGTGAGAAATGAATTTTCCCTGGTCCAAAGTGGACTATCCATGGGGGTGAGAAGTGTCCAAATTCTAATGTGTGCGGGCCCTGACTGTGATCATAAATGCAGGAATTATCCTGTACCTATTATTTGTGAGACTTGAAAGTAGAGCTCTACTGAGAACACTGCCTCCTGTCATCAAAGTTATGCACTGGACTGGTTAGGGGTGCAGGCTGGAGGCTCAGAGATTCTGGGTTCGAAGCCCAGCTCCACCTCTCGCCAGCTGGGTGACTGGGGAGGTTAGGGAGATGCTCTGTGCCTTGTTTTCCCTGCCTATAAGTTTAGGATAAAACCATCATCTATCACACAAAGTTTATTGTGAAGATAACAGATAGGTAAGTCTCTATATATTAAATGCATAGAGGAACGTCCCATAGTTTTTTTTTTAATTGATTTTGGACGGCGGGGGAGGGAGGAAGGGAAGGAAGGAGGGAAGCATCGATTAGTTGTTCCATTTACGCACTCTGGTTGATTCTTGTATGTGCCCTGACTGGGGATCGAACCCACAACCTTTCATGCCATCACTGTCACCATCACCTGCTATCACCAGTAAAGTGGAGATTATACACTTCCAACGCTCAAAAACCCCACCATCTGCTGGGAAAGGCCACAGGGGTGTTAAGTAACAATCCAGACCTCGTATTGCAAAGTCCAGCCACAGCCCAGAGGAGAGAGCAAAGCCAACTGTCCCCTCAGCCTGAGGGACGGACCAGGGGAGGCTCAACCGGCTTCTTAGAAGCGGTAACCTTGGCTGCATCTTGAAGGGCAACCGGGAGTTTCCCGGGCTCTTTACTGGCCTGCAGGTCTGTGTGCCCGCCGCCGCCGGATGGGCCAGAATCGCCAGCCTCCGGCCCAGCGCCCCCACCATCCCAGCCTGCTCCCCGCCCCCCACAACTCTCAGCAGACTCACCGCACCTCACGGTCTGAGTGGCTCTGGAGCCACCATTTCCTGAGTAATATTTTTCCGATTTGCTTTACAGTGGATATTTTTCAAGCTCTAAGAGATGAGGCCCATTAAGCAAAGTTTTTTTTTTTCTAAACCAAACAGACATGCACTTGTCTCAGGGGCATTTATTTCCACAGAGCTGTGGTCTTGCTGCGTCTGCCTCCCTGCCCCTGCACTCTGGCTCTGGAGACCCCACAGGGCATNCCACAGAGCTGTGGTCTTGCTGCGTCTGCCTCCCTGCCCCTGCACTCTGCCTCTGGAGACCCCACAGGGCAACTTTCCTGCCAACCTGCCTCCCTGCCCCTGCACTCTGCCTCTGGAGACCCCACAGGGCAACTTTCCTGCCCACCTGCTTCTCCCCCCGAACCACCCCCAGGCTCCCTCTCCCTCCCCTGGCTCCAGGTTGGGGAAACTTTCCAGATCTGTATTTTCCTTTCACACCCAGGTCTAAATCCCACCGACTCACCCTCCAAAACCTGTCTCAGGTCCCACCCCTCTGCCCCTCTGCCCCTCTGCCCCTCCGCCTCGGCCCCAGCCCGGGCTGCCTATTTCCTGCCGCAGCTACTGGGCCGGCTTCCAGTTTCTCTCCGCACCTTCAATCTCGCTCCCTTCGTGTCCACCTTCTACTTGGCCACGT